CAATTCTTCCAAGTAGAAATGTATTTAGAGTTTGGGTATGAAATGAGATCTAAGGTTTTCAAGCCTTCTAAGGTGAGTACACATAGGGACACATGGGAGAATGCACTAATATGAGTCCAATATGTTCAACAACATAAAAGACCAATCTAATATTTATGTAAGGCGTACAATGATAGGTATATAAGTCAGATATTACACGCATGTGAGACATTGTCCAATCCAATAGTCGCAAGTCCGGTTGTTTGAGCCCATGTACTCTATCATGATCCAGTCACTCCATGAGACGATTTTTAACAAATTATGTCCCAAACTCTCTATTCTGCTCGTTACTTTTGATGTTATAAACGTGCTCTTTAAGTGTATTTTTATTGCTTTTTCCCCTTTTGGTGGTAGCATGAGTAAATGGCTTTGATGTCATTAAATTTGTAGTACGTTTAATCCACAGCAGTAATGCCCATCAAATTGGTATCCTTGTAATAAGTGAAGGTATTATTCTACAATCTAATGGATGGTGAGTATTAAGACTGAAGATAGATTAGTTTTACATAATATGTAGTGTCCTTAATTTTAGAGCTAAACCTTGTGTGTAATGTGTACTAAGATGTGTTTTTATCTCTAGATATCCTTTCATCACCACTAGTTTATCATGAGTTTTTAAGCATACATTTTCATTTTCCAATCAATGATTCATTTAAGGTATAAGATTAATCCATGTCACCATTATTTCATCATTTAGTTATTTAATTTAATTTTTTTACTCTAATTGATCCAAATGAAGAAGGTAGAGTATGTTCGAAGCACTGTCCTAGAATTTTCCCTCCAAATTTTGACACATCTAAAACAAAAGGATTGTGTGTTTGCTTATAATCACACGAGGATAAATCAGTAATTCAATTGCAGATTTTACAAATCTCGTTTAACATTCTATAATTATTCTAGAATAGATACAAAAAGATTCACCCTTAAATAAATCATTGATTGGGAAATGAAAATGTCTGATTAAAAAGTCATGATAAAATAGTGGTGATGAAAGGATATCTATAGATAAAAACACATCTTAGTATACACATTACACACAAGGTTTAGCTCTACAAGGACACTACATATTATGTAAGACGAATCTATCTTATGTCTTAATACTCACCATCCATTAGATTGTAGAATAATAATTCAAATATTCGAATATTTATAAGTCAGAGAACTGATGATGCAATGCTTCTTAGGGTCTGTTTGCAATCCATTAAAAAGTGCTTTTAACATTTTTTTAAGAAAAAAACACTTATTTTACCAAACACTACCAACTTTTACTTTCTCGGCTTCCGTGAAGAATCTACTTTTTACTTTTTCTATTACACAAAAAGCACTTATTTTACCAAACACTACCAACTTTCACTACTAATCACTTTCCCCCCAAAAGTGCTTTTATTTAAGCACAAGTGGTTGCAAACAAAGTCTTAAGTCTAATGCACAAGAAACACTGTGATTCATGATTCTGAAAGATGAGACTATTCAGCTTCATAAAATGTTCAAGTAAAACAGTGAACATCCCCGGAACTATCAACTCAAGCTATTGCCGTGATGTGCTGAAGTTTTCTCATAACCTTCACAAAACTAGCATCCCAATAAGGGGTGGACCTAGTCCTCTGGACGTCTGGACAACTATGTGTATCGGTTCTGGGTCTAGATCTGTCTTCCGCTGTAGCCTAGCACCCCCTGAGCTTGAAGAATTATTTACTAACCACTTATTAGTCCCTGTGGGACTTGTCCTCCCTCCTCCACCAGCCCGGAGCTCAACCCCAAAAGTTTTCTCCAACACAATACCTTCCTCATATTTCAAGGGACAGAATTTGTCAGAATGCACAATCACTCCACACATGAAGCAAAAATTAGGTAGTTTTTCATTTTTAAAATATATCCAATGTCCAATTCCTTTTATTTTTTTTAAATTAGAGGGAATTTGACAATTTATCCAATATCCAATGTCCACATCCATGGACACTCTTATTCTCATATAAGATTTCCATTTTTCCTCAAACTGGTTCTTATCAAAACTAATAAAAGTCCCAATATAGTTTCCCATTCTCTTAGCAGATCCCAGATTAATGAATTTAAATGGTACATTGTGGACCTGTACGCAAAATCATCTTATGAGGTATATCATCTGGCTGAACTGCTTTTAAGAGTAGTAAATCTCTTTCAAACAACCAAGGACCATCCTCAAGCACACGATTCATATCCACAATATGATAGAAAGTAAAAAGGTACATTTTTTCTCCAATTTCTTTCATGAAAACCACTTTCCCCGGTCGCCAGATTGAAGCCAAAAGGTCTTTGAATACTTGGAATTTGATTTTCCGATCCTTAAGCACGACTCCGACCACCGGAAATTCCATTCTTTCGTCGGCTCCATCAACTTCCGCGGCTTCCTCATCGTCAAAATTGAGTTCGTTGTCTTCCTCGCCAATAGCCATCTTCTTATAATTATTTACGATATTATCCATCGAATAGGCCCTCGGATCGTTCCTTGCCCTCTGTCTGTTTCGGCCGAAACGAAAGCAGCCGTCGAGCAGCCCCCTTTGCTTCTCACCTGCTGGAACACGACGGAAACCAACCAGCTACGAGCTCGATCACTCAAGCCTACGAAATCTCCTATGTGCCGTTCTTCGTTTGTGGACGAAAACGGAAAAATGCCTCTAGCGGCTAAACCCTAGAGAGAAGTTTTTAAAATGTTACGCATTTTTTTAAGATTGTTTTGGGATTATGTAAAGGTGAAATTATAATGAGGAGATCGGTCAAAGGTGAGATTATTCTTGTTAATTTTTCATATTATTTATTTCACAAATGTAATTTTAGAATGTTAATCGCATCCTAGCAAAGCTTATAATATTTTGAATTATGTCATTATTCCAATAATTTTATATTTGTAAAGAAACACAATCATGTTGTCAAAATAATTTTTTAGATAAAATTCGGGGTGTATATATTACATATGCAAGTTTAGGGTACTTATCTCACACCCCATCAAAATTTGGGTATTCATAATATTTTCCCTAATAAAAATAAATTGGGATGAATTTAAACTAATATAATCTTTGTTTAATATTTTCAACTCTTATCCTCCAACATAGAGAGAACCACATATGGGAAAATGACGTTGAGATTAAACGAGTTTTACTTCGAATTCACTCTGAAAAAGTGGTGATAGGGGTTGGGAGTATTAAACGTGCATTAGTTTGAATTCACCTAATTTATTCTTGTGACTAGTCCGGATTATTTATATGAAAACTCTGAGTAGGGATTATATTGTGGAATCTCTAAAAGTATGGATTATTCTTATCAAATTCACCTTTCGTTTTTTTTATTATTGACAAGCGAACTAAGGTTCTAAATAAACGAATGAAATACTTGATATTATTATCTACATTCATTAAAAGTGATGAATATCCGTGTTCATATTCGTTTGATAAATAAATCATTTATAATATCCGTAGTTTCTTGGTTTGTTATAAGAAAAAAATTCATAAACATTACTCTTTAAAATGTGATCGACAAAAATATTACTTAATAACTATTAATGACCAAAATTGTACTCAAAATTTATACCGCAATAACTAAATGTATGTTACTGCGATGCACATTTTGAACACAATTATAATAACTAATTGTTATTAAATCACTTTTTTGTTCATATTATTTTTATGAGAGTATCTCTGAAGTACTGTCATAGAATTTGCCTTCCAAATTTTGACACTTCTAAAACAAAAAGGTTGTGTGTTTTTTCGCAAAAAAAAAAAGTTGTGTGTTTGTTTATAATCACACATTCACACGTGGATAGATCTGTGGGTTCAAATGTTCAGTTGCAGATTTTTCAAATCTCGTTTAACATTCTATAATAATTCTAGAATAGATACAAAAAGATTCACCGAATCGTTGATTAGAAAATGAAAATTATGCTTAAAAACTATCATGATAAACTAGTGGTGATTGAAGGATATATATATAGATACAAACACATCTTAGTATACACATTACACACAAGGTTTAGCTCTAAAGGACACTGCATATTACGTAGTATGTAAAAAATAATCTATCTTCCACTACCAAAAAAACACGGGATTCGCAGGGATTTTGGAATGGATTTTGGCAGGGATTATGCCAAATCCGTGCCAAAAAACTTTGGCACGAGCTATTTGGCACGAAAAATCGGTAATCCGTGCCAAATTTCTGTGCCAAATTCTGTCTTAATACTCACCATCCATTAGATCGTATAATAACAACAATTCAAATATTCAAATATTTACAAGTCAGAGAACTGCATATGATGCAATGCCTCTTAAGTCTAACACACAACAAACATAGTGATTTGTGATTCTGAAAGATGAGACTGCTCAGCTTCATGAAATGTTAAAGTAAAACAGCCAACATCCCCGCAACTATCAACTCTAGCTAATGCCGTGCATGTACTGAAGTTTTTTCATAACCTCCACAAAACTAGCATCGCAGTCAGGGGTGGACCCAGTCCTCGGGTCAGCTAGAAGTGTATATCAGTTCTGGGTTCGTGTGTCAGTTTAGGACCATTTCATATTAGTTTCAAAGCCTAATTCAAAATCTTAAAACTCTTTGGTCTGATTACAGAGAAGCAGGAACCGGTCCAAAACAGTTTTGTTGCCAGTTTGAAACTTCAAAATGGTAGCAAGAGGTTCGATTTTTAACCTAGCCAATCCCGGTTCCGGGTAGTACTGGACCAGGTCCACCCTAGTCCCAACCAAATGCACTCAAATATAACGAATTAGCACTCATTCAACGACAGAAGAGATATTTGTAAGCTGCCAGTCTTCCCCCCAGATATTTGGAGGATGGCCACTTCCCTCTCTCATTATCAAATAGAAAGGGCTACCTTGCTATTTCCACCTTCATGATCTTCTAGCATAAGTAGACGTTAAGTGTTTGAAATATGAAAGTCCAAACAATTAAATCCCTAACATGCCACATGCAACAAGTTAGACAACACAAGAAAAGTGATTCATAAGAACTAAGAAGCATTCTATTACCTCAATTCAAATGCAACTAAAGATATCTTCTGGTGGAAATTTGATAGAAGTGCGGACTATATAAAAAAAAGATGTAGCTTAGCTACCATACATGTTTTACATAGTTGTGAAAACGTACAACAACAAAAAAAACAAATCTAAGGTAGGAGGATGACTGCGTTTGGTGAGGAAACCGGATATGTAAGCAAGGTTTGACCTATCTTGATAAATTCACTTGTATCATCAATATTAACCCAAATCCTCATCTGTTCCAAAGCAGTTGCCCTCTTGAGAAAGATTCGTGCCAATGTGAGCATTGGTTCACCGCCAAGATTTGGATTGGCCAAGTTAGACATTTTAATTGTCTTCAAGTGCAATAAGTCACAATCCAAATCACCCTTTGCAGGTGGGACCCAATCCTCATCTAACTACAACCACAACAAGATTCAGACAAACCTACACTGAGAAAATGCTGATTATATCTTGAAATGTAAGAACTCAAATATGTTAACAACATAAAAATAAAGCTTAACAAACATTCAAACAAAAATAATGAAAACAAGACATGAATGGAGAATATTTACCGCATATGGGTCAATAGAATCAATGAATAATTTCTCGAGGTGTGGAGATGCTTCCAGCAGGCCTAAAATGCCAGGAATGGTTTCTGCAGAATGACTTACCATATCTATTGTCAAACACCTTAGCGTATTTTGTGGAAGCTGCCAACCATCCAACACCAGCGCTGCTAAAGCCTATTACACATGTTTGAGGGAAAAAAATATTATAGATACAAATGATATAAAATGTAAGGTCTGCATGCAAATATCCAACACAGGAATATAATTTCTGAGTATTCATCTAAACCTCAAGTATTCCAAATCCATATTTGACTGTTTCAACTTTCATGATTTACAACATATTTTCACTTGAATATGTAGTGCTCCCTCATAGAAGAAATAAGTACCAACTCAAGATTTGAAGTTGGTAAATGTAAGAAAAACAGTTAGAAAGCTCAAGAAACTTTGTTCCCTCAAGTCACCTCCGTAGAAAACTTACACCCTTCGCCTGCAATCAATACATTTAGTTAACTCTTTCTTGAAAAAATGTAAAACATTATGACACCCTTCACCCGTTGACTTTTAGTTTTCCCACTTTCCTTTGGTAGAATTTCATTATTACTTGCAACACTTTACTTGTTTGGCGACTAAAGACATGTATAATTTTGCTCTTTCATCTTCACTTTCCTAATTTTTCTACTTTTTCCATTACTCTTTTTTATCTTTTCTACATTTTCACTACCGCTACAATTTTACTCTTAGATTCCGTGAACACCTTTTAGACGGAACTAATTGTGATCAGTAAGAGAGTATTTGCAACTAAAAGATTGCATGTGTGCATAATTTTCATCCTGGTGAAAACTATATAATTATAGTGCATTAGTGCCACATGCAAAAAGTACAGTTAGTGCCGTATGTTGCACTTGCATAAGAAGTTCACAATGCATAAATTTTGTATTAGACTCGTTTTCCCTATTCTAAATGTATTTTCTCCCATAGATCAGAACAAGTAATATAGAGTTACTGGAACAAATAGTATAGAGTTACTGGAACAAGTAATATAGAGTTACTGGTTCCGCAGTTTCCATGAGACAAGTCGATGAAACATGCATTTGTCCGCATGGTTTAGCAACTATATAATCATCATAACCCATGTTTGTATAGCAGATAATACTTGGCAGAATAAGAATACCAACTCTGCAGGTTCACTGTCGTGTATGTCTTTGAAAAAAACAGCAACCAACTATTGAATTTCAGGGCAAAGAGCCAAAGAGTCTTAAAATATATCCACGTATACTCTCTTTATTGAGAAGTGGAGCCTTGGCGCACCGGTTACGGTGTTGCTGTGTGACCAAGAGGTCATTGGTTCAAGTCTTGAGAGCAATTTCTTGTCAAAATGACAATAGAAGGTTTGCTCTTTATACACCCTTTTGGTGGGACCCTTTCCTGACCCCGCCTTGCTGGAACACTAATGTGCACCGGGCCGGCCTTTTTTTATACTCTCCTTATTTTAAGACAATATCAATGAATTAAAGCATGGCTAAAACCTAGAAGATCAAATGAACTTCACAACAACAGAATGTTCCATAAGCTTAGAGCATCAATACCAACCTTAACAGGGCCAGGACCCACTTGAAGCTTTGTGACGTGGTGAATGTTTTGAAAAAACTCCTTCGTATTACTCAACACATTATCGGAAGGCAAATCTGACAAAAATCCGGTAAAGCAAAATAAAATATCAACAGCAGATGAGATGTTTATTAGCTTCAGCTGTGTTTCTTCAAGAGTCACCCAAAGAATCAAAGATGTTACATAGGGTGCTGAAATTTGCAGGAAATGTTTCGTTTCTTCGAATTCAGGGTCCTGCACCCAAAGTTTACATAGATTTCGAGAATTGATGTCCAAACAAGTGAATCCCCAACACTCGCTCAGTTCCAAACAATTCAAAACTGGACAACCTGATATTATCTTTTCAACTACAGTTTGAGGCAAATCCACTTCCGAAATTTGCAATTTGGTCAAAGACGACCATTGTATTGTCCCTGTAGGATCCAAGATGCAGCCTCGCAATGACAATGATGTCAATGATGAATTGGAATACATCATCTCAAGAAGAGTGTAGAACTCTTCGCTGAAGATTATGCTCAAATGGACATGTTTCACCTTACTTTTCAAGGCAAACTCTAGCCAGTTATCAACATCTGGAGCAAAGCTTTCCCTGTACTTGAAAACAACCTTCAACTTCTCTAGATAATTTTCACTACGAGTAGCAAGAGTCTTATTAATCCCATCCACAAAATTAAGTATTTTGTCAGGCTTCTCATTTTTATCCCAGAAATCGAATTCGAATTCAAGTTTAGGCAGTTCAGCCCAAAGGAACTGCCATTTTTTCCCCAGCAAGCTTGTCATAGCAGCATGCTTCACACCCAAAAAAGAGAGGATGTGAATAAGTAAGCTATCGGGCAATTCACTAAGTCTATCAATTGGCAAATCCTTACTCCGTTTGTTTTCTCTACCATTTTCCTCTGAATACATTTCTACATTTTCAGCCCCATGATCTCCTTCGTGCTCATGCTTGTATTCTCGACATTCTTGCATTTCTTTAGCTAGAGTGTTTTCACTCATCGATGTAATGAAATCAAATAACAAAATACACAAGTTCAAATCTCAAACAACTGACCGTATGCAATGCCGCCTGGAAACTGGAAAGAGATCGGATATGCTAGCTAGCTAGCTAGCTAAGCTAGGTCATTAAAAAGCAAAAGAGTTGACATTGTGAAATCAGTCCAGATTAGGTTCGGACTCCGGGTAAGGATGTTCTTTTGTACTGAAATTTGCTGGTCTGGTCTGGTCTGTTTAAGTCTGGTCTGGTCTGGTCTGTTTAAGTCTGGTCTGGTCTGGTCTGAACTGGTCTGGTCTGGTCTGGTAAACGTCTGGTCTCTGTGTATTTTATAACTACGGAAGTCTGGTCTGGTCTGGTCTGGTCTGTTTAAGTCTGGTCTGGTCTGGTCTGGTCTGTTTAAGTCTGGTCTGGTCTGGTCTGGTCTGTTTAAGTCTGGTCTGGTCTGGTCTGGGACTGAAAACAGTCCAAAAGAAAACATCCTAAGGGTATTGGCCATTTGGGTCGTGCAAAACATCTATGGAGTAGTTTGAATCACTAATAAGAGCCCCTTTGATAATCATATTTTTGTCTTATCAACTTATCAATTAATTTTTCAATAATCACATAATTTTTTATTTCACGCGTTAAATCTTGTAATAATAAGAAAATGTAAGATCAGAATTATTTTTCTAACTATATTGACTGAAGTTACTGTCGAGGGCTATTTTAGCTATTTTTCACATATTGTTTTAATAAAGTTTATTTTAAATATAACTTTCACATAAAACAACAGAATCGATCGCTACAACCACCTTAACCAGAACTTTATAAGTTTCAGTAAAATCAGTCGATTCAGCCGATTCTGGTATTACCAAACGAGCTCTAAGTGCTACACTAATGATTAGTACTCTCTCCGTCCAGTAGAAAGTTATCACGTGATTGACTATGTTTGACTGACCATAAAATTAACTGATTGTTATCTGTAATTAGATTTTTTTGAAAATAAATTATATATATATATATATATATATATATATATATATATATATATATATATATATTCATAAATTCAGAAACTGCATCAGAATTTTTCACAAAGTCGGAAAAGAAAAACTCAAATTTGAAAAAAAAAATGGGATATATAAAATAAAAGATTAAAAGACTAAACGTTGATGGAAGAATAGTGGTTGTAATCTTTGAATGAGACAGAGATAATATTATATTTTTTAAAAGCATTGTAAGTACTAGGTGTATGTCCCACATTAATGAGGAAATTCCCAAACTTGGACAAAAAACAAAAAAGAAGACAGAAATACACAAAAATATGCTTAAAAGTCTTAAACCAACCTAGAGTGAAGGAATCAATCCAAATTAAGCGAATCAAACTGGAAGAAATCAACTCAACAAATACGGTTTGTTTCGGGTTCCATATTCCATAATGGACCAACGGAAAAATCAAGGCCGACTCAATAGATTAGGAGACCCGGTGCAAATCACGTAAAATAGGTCTTTTTTTAAATAAATATAATATAAAAGGAGCCTTTAAAAAGTAACCCAAAAAAACTAAAATCAAATGTAACATTGAGATATAATCATATTTCGAACCTGAACAACCAAAATCGGTAAACAATAACTAAAACCGAAAAGAAATGAATTAAAATCATGAACTAAAAACTATAGAGTAGGATATTACTGAAAAAACTACTCCCTCTGTCCCTTAAAACCAATCTCGTCCAAACTGTACGAAGAATTTGTGCTAATTACTATAACTAGGCCTTATCCAGGCCTTATGTAATAAAAAAGTTGCACATTTATAATTAACAATTGCACTTTAATTACATATAAATATTAGTATTCAATGTTTGTATTTAAAAACAAAATACTAAAATAGGAATCTTTAATCAAATAAAAAAGGATTTTGTATATTATGTAGACTATATTTAAAATTTTGGGCCTTCTGAATCGAGAGGCCCTGGCGGTAGCACTTCTTGCACGCCCTCATCTACGGCCCTCGGAAAAATGGAACTAATAAATGCCCTTATTACAAACTATTTGGGACACCCACCCTTGGGCATCTAAGGACAACTGTTCCCTTTTTCCTATACTAGTAAATCACCCGTGCGATGCACGGTTGGTGAATTTTTCACATGTTTAATTTTTTTTTATCAAAATTGGAATAAGAATAAACTTGTAATTCTAAGTGAATCATTTAGAATAAAAAATAATAGTTTAGAATTATAGTCCCTACAATATTGAATTTTGATATGCGATGCAATATATTAAATTTGATTAACTACTGATTACACGAAAGTATAAATATAATTTGAAAACACATTAGACTTGTTGCTAAATATTATGAAACACTTCTTTATACGAATTGCATTTTAAAAAAGAATTGCCTTTGAAAACTTGCAAAGCACGGGGGGCATTACGGTATTGAAATAGTATTTTTTGGGGGCTGGGGGCTGGGGGGACCATAATCGGGATTATATATTCATCACACGATTCACAACCGATAGATCTCATATATTTAAACATATATTGCATGGTTTATTTTTTTAATGCACGGTTGGTGAAATTTTCAAGTGTTCAATCATGTTTATATAAATTTGGAGTAAGGAATAAACTTGTAATTCTAAATGAATCATTTCGAATATAAAAAAAGAAGAGTTTTAAATTATAATCCCTAAAATGATGAATTTTGATATGTGATGCAATGCATTAAATTCAATTAACCACTGATTACACGCATTAAAAATATAATTTGAAATCAAATTAGATTTGTTGCTAGATGTTATGAAACACTTCTTTATAGACAAATACATCGAACTAATACGCTGACTATAATTTATACGAATTGCATTTAAAAAAAAAAAAAGAATTGTCTTTGTAAATTTGCAAAGCACAGGGGGCATTACGGTATTGAAGTAGTTTTTTTGTTTTTTTTTGGGGGGAAGGGGGGGGGGGGGGGCGTAACCGGGATTATATATATTCGCCACATGATTCACAACCGATAGATCTCACATGTTTAAAAACATATTGCCTGGTTTTTTTTAATGCACGGTTGGTGAATTTTTCACCTGTTCAATCATGTTTAGTCAAATTTGGAATAAAGAATAAACTTGTAATTCTAAATGAATCATTTAGAATTTTAAAAAATGAACATTTTATAATTATAGTCCCTACAATAATGAATTTTGATATGTGATGCAATATATTAAATTCGATTAAACACTGATTACACGCAGTATAAATATAATTTGAAATCACATTAGACTTGTTGCTAAATGTTATGAAACACTTATATATAGATAAAAGCCTCGAACTAATACATTGACTATTATTTATACGAATTGCATTTTTAAAAAGAATTGCCTTTGTAAACTTGCAAAGCACAGGGGCATTATGGTATTGAAGTGGTATATTTTTTAGGGGGAGGCGTAGTCAGGATTATATATTCGTCACATGATTCACAACCGATAGATCTCACATATTTAAAAACATATTGCCTAGTATTTTTAATGCCCCAGATAATTTAGGTCCTAGATTGACAGTTGTCAATCATTCAAGCCCTAAATTAGTAGTTTTTCATTAATAATTTTTCTATCTTTTAGGTTCTAATGGACAAAATTACTTTAAAAAAGTAAGTACTCCGTATTAAACATATACCATAAAAACTGCCCCGCTAATTACGGCGGCTGCCATCTCTTTTGAAATTAATGCACGCTTAGGACTCACTCACATCTATTCAATACTCATATTTAAAAAAATGATAATAGGGTAACAAATAAAAAACAAAAGAACATTGTATTAAATAAAATAATAGAAGCATTATTTGTAAATTCATTTTTTTAAGTTTCCCACACAAAAACTTGTTATCAAAAGATATCAAAGTTGATTATCCTCATTTAATTTAAGAGCTTTTTGAATAGTATTTTGAAGATCTTTTTTTGAAGAGTACTTTTTTTAACCGGAAATCATGAGATTGTTCATTGTTCTACTCCCTCCGTCCCATATAGAGGTTCCCGATTCGGTTTATGATGTTTGACTGACTATAAAGCAATTTGATCCCTGTTTATACTCGGATTATTTTTAGTATTTAGAAACTACATTAAAGTCACTACAAAGTCTGCTAAAAAATATAAATTTCATAAAAAAATTTATATATATAAAGTAAAAGGTTAAGTGATTTAAGTTGACCATGTGAATAGTAAACGTGAACATTTAAATGGAACGGAGGGAGTAGTAAATGTCGTGACATTTACATCATTTTATAAAATAATAATATGGAATAATATACGGAGCACAACATAAGCTTGGAGAGGACTTAGGCTCTGATTGCAAACACTCAAAAAAAGCACTTCCCAATGGTTCCAAGTTCCATATTCCATAATGGACCAACGGAAAAATGGAACTAATAAATGCCCCTATTACAAACTATTTGGGACACCCACCCTTAGAGCAACTCCAATGCAATGGGTGCATTGGAGATGATGTGGCAATTAAATGGAAAGAGTCCATTTAAAATGAGAGGGTCCATTCAAATAGATTTCCAATGCTAAACAAATTTAAAGTGCAAAACAAATGGGAAGCAACTTGTAGGAGAGAGAGGGGGTGAGACCCAAGGTCCCAATATAGACCTCCTTTTGGACCTTGGTCATTGCCACCTAGGATAGACCTCATTTTTTTGGTTTTGCATTGGAGAGCACATTGGGTCTATTGGGTGAGGTGGATGACATTTTTTTGGCAATCCACCTCCCCATTGAAGATGCTCTTAGGCATTTAAGGACAACTATTCCCTTTTTCCTATATATTCTTTAGTTTATTGCATGGGTTTGGGTTTCCACTTGCCTGCTGCCACCATCTATCGCCCATCACCTGAGCGTTGCAATCATCGATGATGCTGATCTTCGGAGCTATGTCGATGCCTATTGTCAGAATTTTGCCGCCACTAGATTTCTGACGCCGGCGATCTTCTGCCACCAATGGAGTACCATGGTTATGTCATGGAGTACCATGGTTATCAGGGATTAAAAGGAAATATTTAATTCTATTTAGAGAATAAAAAACATTGAAATCTAATTTGTGCACTTAGACCATTGGGAGTGGTGTAAGAGTCTAAATGTCAAAAATGGACTCTGTCTATATGAAAACAGTGTTTTGACTCTTAAAGGGACATGAA